TAGTTGAGCTGCAGAAAGCTCTAGACGAGGGATCGTCATTTCCTTCAATGGGGCAACCTTGTTTTTGCGGCAATCAAGGATGTATGGCATCTCCGTCAGCACTGGTATTGCGCAAGTAAATAACTGCTGCGTAAGCTTTGGTACTCGCATCGCAAACCCATGCAGCGTCGATACAGAATTTTCCTTGATTCCCAGCCATCGTGGTATTTTGATATTTTCAAGACCCTGTAGACTGTTCCGGTATTTCATCCAAGTCTCACGAAGATCAGATGGGAGAGGCGTATCCCAACTTAACTTCGCCAACCATAGATTTTGAACAAATATCTTGGCCGTCACGACCAACTGGTGCCAGCATCCCAAAGGATCATACAACCTTGCATATCACTCAACATCCGTTTAGTAGGAATTGTGTCAAAGTTACATACCTTAACCTTGAAAATAAGGTATCAGTAATAGATTCCAGTGTAGGCCCAATACCGTTGTGCTGGAATCGCTAAAATTTATCTCCGATGCAGACGCCTTAGAGCCACTGATCTTTCAGGGTCTGGACGCAGTTGAGTTCCACTTATCTAATTCAAATTTACCTAGTTGAAGAATGGCATCAACGTCGCTTGCCCGGTTGATGGCCAGTTCTGTCGTGTGAACACTTTCCAAATAATCATCGACATAAAAGCTATGAAGGATGCTGTCCGTGCTGCGGCTGCCCGGCTGACGTCAGCGATCACTTCCCAATTATCATAGGCACACTGCCTCAATGTTCTAATAGCATTAAAGGACTGCTTGCCATACCGTACGTCACTGTAGAAAGTTGATAGGTACGCAAGAGTTCATTAGGGCACTCCCTCCAAAGTATCTGTTGCCATTTTCGATGCCGTGAATCAACCATTACTTGTCGGAACATCTTTCTGATATCAGCTGTGAGAGCAACTGAATACCGCCGAAATCGATGAAGTATGTCAACCAGGTTTTCCTGTAGCTGGGGTCCCTAGTTGCGTATCGTTAAGAGATACGCCGTTGGTTGTTTACACGATGCGTTAAACACTACTCTGAATTTAGTCGTAACAGCATGGTGAGGGATGTAATAACAGCTTCCATGCCATCTGGAGAACCATCTATCGCCTCCATGTGTCCCAACTTGATGTATTCCTCATGAATTCCACGTATTTCTCCCTCAGTGCGAGTCGTTTGCCAATATCCGCTCTAGTTTCAAAATTGTCGAAGTGCCGCCGGATTGAGTTTCCAAGGGCAGGTGCATCAGATCGAAACGGGATCTGTACAATATACTGACCATTTGGAAGTCGCGTAACCGTTCTGGCGAAAATCTCTTCACATTTGTCCACTCTGCCTTGGTGTTATCAGAAGGTTCTTCGATTTCCCAAAATTTTCGTAGAAGTTTATCGGTGGTAGAATCATCTTGAACGTCCACAGAGAGGAAAGTAAGACTGGTTTCGACTCGTTCGGTGCTACTGGACCAAGCACTACCCATTCGAGACGAGTGTGTAATGCGCATGGTTCGTTATGAGAACCGACAACAACATCGTTTAATACTAGGCAGGCCAAATATCTGCGCCAATAAGTAGTTCTACTTGACCTGGTATACCGAACGCCGGATCTGCCAAATGAAGACCATTTAAATGATGACTGGTCCTGATGTCTATAGTAGTGGCAGGAGTCATAGACGTGATTGAATCAATGATGTACGCATTAAAACTGATCTTGAACTTTTCATCCGCACGGGACCGCATACTAACTCGCACAATGCCTTTTGTACGGGTTGAAAGACTTTGATCAATACCTTCGACTTGACACTCGTACGGGCTTCTGGAAGATTCAAACAGTTTAATGATTCGCAATGAAGCTCACCTGAGAACCAATTCACAAAGTGCGCGACATTCCCTTAAATGACCTTTCATCAGCGGAAGCACGTTGCCGTTGCTAAGAGTATAGTCCGGTCACCCTGCAAGAGGAATGACTGGACGTCGCTCCTTTGTCATTGTTGTCGGGGAAGTACCTTGGGCGCACTGACGCTGTAGCCGCCGGTCCAGGAGTATATCTGGTAGAAGTGCTTCAACGCTTCTCTGGGGCTGCTACATAGGAGAGTATTGTGTTTCTGCTGGCAGTTGAGACACAACCAGATGGACAGTCACGATACGATGACCGGCCTTGAGGCAATTGAAACATAATGTGCCTGTTTCACCAGATTCCAGCGTTCATCCAGTTGAAGATTACGAAACTTTGGCATTTCGTAATGCGATGAAATTCATTACAAGATGGGCAATTAGTTGCCCTGTCAGGTGCTCTAATGGATTAGTAATTTTTCCAGAATTTATAGCCAGATGCGTCTTCACACACGACTTGATGTGCGTCCGCTTGAAAACTGTGGAGTAATGGCGAAGATGTCGCAGGTTAGCTGCACGCCGTTCCACGAACATTATAACGTCTTCCATCTTCGGATGTCTTTGGATTTTAGGCTCATTCCCCACTCGGTTCGGGTCACAACCGGTAGTTTGGGTAATAGCAGTGGTACGGCTATAGCATCCCATTGTTTTACTGGCACATTCATCATTTCGAGCGCTCTAAAGGCATTACGACAGTATCTACAAAATTTAGTAGCGTAGCTCGAGATTCTGGTGGATGGGTCGGCAGTCTAGAGATACTGAACATGGTGCTCCGAAAGAGTACGGGGGTTGTCATAACGTTGTTTCAATTCAGCCCAAACTTCTTCATACCCACCTGTGACAAGCCACCTACTAATGGAACATTTCTGCCTTCACATACTGTCGCAGTTTTCCCAGTTTATAGGTGGGTTGTAAGTCACTTCTGTTGTGAACTAGTGTCTCAAACATATCTTGAACGCTAACCAGTTTGACGGCTGTCCGTCAAAGCTTGGAATAGAAACGGGATCCAACCGCATGTCTGGAGCCTGACTGTACTCCTGGTTGGGGATCTCGACTATGATGACATTTTACGTTTTAATTTGATGCAAATGTTGTTGAAAATCTCCTCCGTTGAAGCGAGCAAATGTCATGCTCTGTCACCTCGCCTCCATGTGCGCTGGAAACGAGTGCAAAATGGTTGTCCATAAAACGGGAGAAATGCTGTCGGGCACTACCCAAGAGCTGTTCACCTTCGACACAGTCTGGATGGTAGTTTCGCTTGAACTTGCGTCCAGATGCGCAAATAGAGGTGCGCGCTTATGTACGCAAGTTTAATGCCGACATATTACCCAAAATTCACTTAACCCTGTGATTGGTATATATCACCTCACAGGAGGCACCAAAAATGTTTAGGAATGCACTAAACACTCAATGTTCTAATGGCGGATTGCAGTACAATAAAACACGATTTGATTATTTTATTATTATCGTTATTTCCACTATTTATTTGGTACGCTCCAAGTACCATCCAATTCCATTGACAAACAACTGAACTCAATCTTATGCTTAACTTATGCTTATATAGAAAATTAGTATGTAAGAGAACTGACAAAAATAACAAAGTTGTTATTGTATACGGCAAAATGGCCTGACTAAACAACTGTAGAATGGTATGATATGCCAAAGCCAAACGCATCACCTGATAATGGTGATTCCTGTTGTTCTTGTGTGCTTCACAATGGTCTGACCCAAACAACGGTAGAAATGCCGAACCTAAAGTGCGTCAGCTGATAATGATGATGCCAGATTGCACCTAGAGAATAGTGCTGCCAAATTGTATAGCATAAATCTCTCAAGTTAATGGAACTTATGATGAATCGTTAACAACAATCTTTCAGACTATTACTCTGTTAAATATTTAGGAATGACCCGTGGCACTAAGCTACGGTGCAGAGTTCATATCTTATATATGGAAAACAAGCTAATAATCTATAAACAAGTACTTAGACCGATATAGAGCTATGCTGCACGACTGTAGAGATGTGCTAACGCAAGTAAAAGACAGTCACACACAATTCCAAAACAAAACACTAAGACTAATTGTTAAAGCGCCTTAGTATTGTAGAAATGCTGATATAGAGCGTAATCTCGATAAACACAGAAATATTAAACATTTTCAGCACATCAGCCATTCTAATGCTAAAACATTGGAATGCAGAAGTAGCAATGTTAACTTCTAGAGATGGATCACCAACACAAGTTGAACGCCTCAAACCCAACGGTCTTTCAAACTATCCATACCTTCAGAGTATATTTGTAATAATTAGACCATATAATTATAGTCTTTCTTTTATGTATTACGCAAAAAACAATACAAAAGCAAATAATTTTTTTGAGTATCATCAAAATATCTCATACCTAATTCACGTTATTATTTACATTTTGTATTAAAGCAGAAAATATGACACAATGCCAAATAACATGCTTTATTTATAACAAAACTAATGAGGTCCAAAACAACATTTTCATTTATCTAAAGCGACGCACATTATGATCACAGACGAAACTTTTCCGCATCAACGAAGACCACCTGACGTCAGAGGCGCTCTCATCTATGCTATGGACGCCATACGAACGTTCATGGACGATAGTTCCTCGGATAAAGATGATCGACGGGATCAAGCAAAACGATTACGTGAAAATCAAGAGAGCCGCTCAGATTAATGTTTGCCAGAAGTACTGACTCCTAAAGTCAAAGTCCCGCTCAGTCTAAAGAACAAGCTACTCATATATAAGGCAATACTCAGGCCGATCTGCTTGTATGGAGTTCCAATCTGAGGAAGCTCAAGCTGATTCAAATTTTAAGTTATTTGATTCTTTTAAAAATAAGTTCATCAAGACTTAAAAATGCTCACTGTAAAGAAACTATAGAATAATTTAGTAGTCTTAATTTCTCGAAACCATGATAACGTCCTTGTGATCTGCTGGTAATAGTAGTGTGAACTGCTGGATAAATGTCGACAATTTAGGAGACTAAAAATATGTCATATATCATCCAATTAGATCTCTCTTTTGATTGATCTCACTCATTATGTAAGATATTTTTTATTGTATTTCAACATCATGGTTCTACCAGTAAAGTTAGTATTGTCATCTTAATAACTATACCAGATTCTAAATAAAACTGGAATATTACGAGTATACAAAATATATATACATATTGTAATAATGTGTATTTTTTTATGTACTTATAGGTTTTACGATAGAGTGTTTCTGTAGTTATCTACAGTTGATACCCAGGAACATAAAAATAGTCCTTTACTTAAAACAGCAATCTCATCAATGAATGCTATTTGAAAGCAAATATTTTATTCATCTAAAGCGACGACATTATGAGCACAGATCGAACTTTTCCGCATCACGAAAGACCACCTGACGCCGGAGGAGCGCTCTCACTAGCTATGGACGCATACGAACGTTCATGGACCGATAGTTCCTCGGATGAAGAATGATCGACGGGATCAAGCAAATCGACTACGTAAATCTTATAAGCACCTATGATCATGGAACTGCATATGAACCACAACCATACGTACGAACGTGGAAAATACCAATTGTGCCCGCCTGTTGCGATCACCAAATCATCATTGCCAGAAAATTGTAGCTAACACATGCAATCAACACCTTATGTGCTTTTTCCCATATTCTTTACAAGAATATGAAACAACAATAGTGCAAGTGGTAGTCTGATGCAATTCTATAATAATTAGCTCACATATAGATTACGGACTCATTGAGAGATCACAGTTTCCGGTTTTCATATTCTTATTATGGCTCCATTCCTAACTTAAACAAATCTAGGGCCCCATTGAACAATCAACAGAGCCGCCTCATATGAATCCCTTTACACGAAAATTTCGGTTACAACAGATCGCCAGCAACGGATGCTTTAAGCCCAAGCTTCGAGGTTAGTAAAGCAGATGCAATTGCTGCACTCAACAATGAGTGATCGAGAAGCGGAGCTGTAAAAATAATTTGAAGGACTCGTTAGAAATTGAGGTACGTTAAGAACTTCTTGTTAATTATTTGTTACTATATTGGCAGAATAAAACGCTATATTACGATTCGAATTAATGCGTTGTGTGCAGATATAATTCTTCTCGTCCTTAAAATTTAACTTAGGTATGCTTGGGAGTTTGGGATTAGCCACACTTAATCAATAATTTCCATAGGAGCAGATACTTCGTAACTTATATTTTGCCTAAATGATTATCTTATATAAAAAGCAAATTAATTTAGCTTGTCCTGATTTTTCCGTCTTTTAAACATAACTTAACTACTTTTAATAAAAGTAGTCACACATAAATATACCAAATTATTTATAATATGAATTCAAGAGATCGTGACCCTTCTAAAACAGACAAAAGTAACTATATTAATTAAAATCAAGAGCTCAATTCTCCAAAGCTCTATCTAATAGTAATAAGTATCTAACAATTCAGAGGCTCCCCTAATAACTTAGTAACTATATTAAAATTTTGATAGTTATTCCACTTAAAAAGTCTACTATTTATTTCTGACTTGCCAAAGATACCTTGGTGGAGGACATTAAGTCTTACATTTCGTCACGTTTAAAAATTGATGATATCAATATCCGTAAATTTAACTTCAATTATGATAGAAGTATATCATCGTTAAAAATAGACGTATCTCTTGAAACATTCAAAAAGATCTTAGATATGTAGTTCATTCTGCCACCTGGGCTTTTTGTACGCGAATTTAAGCCTAAATTTAGAAGTCAAACTGAGGAAAACATTTAATTACCAAAAGCAACCCACCGTCTAAAAATGATTGGTAAATTCTAAGCATTTATTATCAAAATGTTAGAGGTCTTAAACAAATTAACCGACTTGTATAAAACATTCATTTATTTCCATATATTGGACTTTACAGAAACATGGTTAAAACCTCATTTTGATAATGAGATTTTAAATAGCAATTTCAAATATTTAGATGTGATCGACTAAAACAGAATCGGTGAAGGTGTTCTATTGCCGTACATTCCTCTATCCCATCTGAAGATGTTTTTGTTCCAGAACCGACCCATTTGAATTTAAATGTATTAGAGTTTATGTTAATAGTTGCTTTATTATTTTAACCCTGTCTTATGTACCACCCCATTCGGACTTATCTGTATACATGCAGCATGCTTCTTTAATAAATAGTGCTACTTCGATGGCAAATATGCCGATTCAATAATCGTATTAGAGATTTCAATATACTGGTGCTTCGTGGAAGCTTCGTTGACTATATCTTACCGATTTGCAATCGGTCTTGTTTTCATGAGTTTTCGAAAAATGTCCGAGTTGGGTCTGAACCAAATTAATTTGATTCCGAATAAATTTGGTAAATGCTTAGATTTAGTATACGTTGATACCTCTTCAAAAGTGTTCCGTTATTCAGAGTAATACTCTTTGTTCTACCAGAGGATTCGTATCATTTCGAAATATCTGTCGAAATCATGAGCAATGTAGCGATAATATTATCAAACTTCGTGCTTCCGTACTCGTTCAACTTTGCAAAGCTTATTTTAAAAGTTAACTACAGAACTTTCTACAACATCTTGGCTATTAGTCCAGTCATTATAGTAAGTTCACCTCGGAATTCAGATACTCAGCTGTAAGTCTGTAAATACTTGTATATGACCCTACTAAAAGTTGTCTCAAACCTACATTGGTGGGTGTTCGCAACTATTAAATTTCAAGTCAAAGGTCACAAAATCGGTTTTTTGCGCTTTTTGAAAATATCTCATTTCTATGGGTTTTTGCCTATGGTATTTATTATCAATTATGTAGAATACAAAATTCTCTACAAATTTTGTTTAAAAATTTTTCATACGGTGAACCGTTTTCGAGATAGAGGGCTTAGAGCGCGCGGTCACAGCTCACTTCAGGTCAACCGGTGCCTCCGATCAAAACGCGCCATATATAGTTGATGAACTATCGATAAATCAATGATTATAAATATTTGTCAATTTTATTAACTATTATATTATATTTATAACTTTTTCCTAACCTATCCACTTTTATTCAGTATTAATTTATTTAACAGCACTTACCTGCCATGAATTGCAGAATTGTTAATGAAAATATAGGAATTATATTTGAATTTAAACCTTATTAATATTAATACTTCTTACATGATAAAAATATAAAAATATATTAAAAATATCATTCAATACATTTATTTTTTAAAAGTAAAAATGGAATAAAGGGTACAAAGACTACAATTTATAGCATTGAGACAAGCTTGCCCATTACATTGGCCACAAGCTAAGAGCATTGCAAGCCCGCTTTCCTGCATCCGCATCGCGACACACCAACCACTCTTGCAGTTGCAAAAATTGTATTTAGCAAATGTTCTGAGCAGGTGGTAAAATTGTCATGATAGGCTCCAGAAAATCGTTTCGCATTGCCCAATCCCATACCTAGGGTTTCAAATCTGCCTCTAACCAATTTTGAACTAATATACACGTTCGAAATGTTGATGAGCAGCTGCACTTGTTGGTGGAATATTTGAATGCTGCACAGGTTTATTAAGTTTTGTAGACTTGACGTAATGCATATAACGAAGATGATCGAGACTTTTCACAGATTTCGGAGCATTATAGACTGCCCATAAGGTTGTGAGTTCCACTCTCTAATAATCTCTGGGCCGAAACAATTTTCTTCCTCAAATGCTGCAGCTGGTTCAACCAATTGGTCAGTTTCTCAAAACTTTAAAAATGTTTTTCCTTTTAAAAAGCGCAGAGTTGTGTCACATCCACTTAAAGCGTGCAGAATAAAATATGTGTTTTGGAATGAGGATAATTATCAAAACTTTTAGTCGAGTATATCTCCGTTTTTACATGCCTTTCCCAACTTTTTAAAAGAAATTTCTGTTCTAAGACAGTGTACGCCCAATTAAATGATGAGTAAATCAATATCTTGTCCTTTATTTACAAATTTACAGATTTTAAAGAAGATGCACTTAATTATTTTCTAATTAAAATGTCATTAGTGTTAATGGGAATAAATTATAGTAAGATTTAAGTTTTCCCTTCATTTTTTTATACTCTCGCAACCTGTTGCACAGAGTATAATAGTTTTGTTCACTCTAACGTTTGTTGTATCACCTAAAACTAATCGAGTTAGATATAGGGTTATATAATATATAATGATCAGGATGAAGAAAGAGATGAAATCCGGGTGACTGTCTGTCCGTCCGTCCGTCTGTCCGTCTGTCCGTCTGTCCGTCCGTTCGTGCAAGCTTCTAACTTGAGTAAAATTGAGATATCTTTATGAAACTTGGTAGACATGTTTCATGGTACCGTGAGACGGTTGGTATTGCAGATGGGCGTAATCGGACCACTGCCACGCCCACAAAACGCCATTAATCAAAAAACAATAACTTGCCATACCTAAGCTCGAAATAAGATACAAGACTGTTATTTGGTACACAGGATCACATTAGGGAGGGCTTCTGCAGTTAATTTTTAAAAGTGGGCGTGGTCCCGCCTCTAATAGGTTTAATGTGCATATCTCCTAAACCGCTAATGCTATAATAACAAAATTCACTGGAAGCTAATATTTTTAGCACTTCTATTGACGGTGTGAAAGTAGTTGAAATCGGGTGGCAACTCCGCCCCTCCCATATAACGGTACTGTTAAAACTACTAAAAGCGCGATAAATCAAGCACTAAACAGCCAGAGTCATTAAATTTTATCTCTGGGATGGTATGAGATGACTTTATAGGAACCCGTTCAAAATTAGACAGTGGGCGTGCACAGCCACTGTTAGGTGAAACCCATATCTTGAGATCTGCTAACCGATTTCAACCAAATTCGTGGCATAACGTTCTTTCATGTTTCTATGTCACAGTGCAAAAATGGGCGAAATCGGACTACAACCACGCCTACTTTCCATATAACACCATTTTAAATTCCATCTGATTCTTTCACTTTCCACTATGCAAATCAGGCAACAATGACTGTATCGGATAAAACTTTGCGTGAATAATGCGATTAAAGTATGCCACCTTGTGGCCAAAAATTGTCTAATCGAACCAAAACTGTTTAAGCCCCTAAGTACTAAATATGTGGACCCCAGTGCCTATAGTTGACCTTCTACCGAAAATATCAGCCAATCCACAAAGAAATCTCAAACGAGTATACTATTTGACTTTGCGAGTATAAAATGTTCGGTTACATCCGAACTTAGCCCTTCCTTACTTGTTTAATTTAGGAAACGGTGATCAGTATTATTGAATAGATAAAGATTTAAGGCATCAAGAAAATGATAAAATATAATATATAGTTATAAAATTGACAAATATTTATAATCATTGATTTATCGATAGTTCATCAACTATATATGGCGCGTTTTTGATCGGAGGCACCGGTTGACCTGAGTGATGCTGTGACCGCGCGCTCTAAGCCCTCTATCTAAAACGGTTCACCGTATGAAAAATTTTAAACAAAATTTGTAGAGAATTTTGTATTCTACAATATTGATAATAAATACAATAGCAAAACCCTAGGAAATGAGATTTACAAAAAGCTCAAAACCGATTTTGTGACCTTTGACCTTGAAATTTAATAGTTGCGTACACCCTACCATATGTAGGTTTTGAGACAACTTTTAGCACAGCTGGTATGAATATGTAATCCAACATCGTTTTATGTTTCGTCAACTCCAAACGCAGGATTTCCAAATTTCCGTCTGCGATGAAATAGAGATAAAATTTAGATCCAGCATTGAAAACTATAGAGGTATCGCAAAACTATCAGTTATACCTAAACTTTTGAAGCTATCATCACTGACCATATAACCTTTTCGATTTCTCCGTAATTTCTCATCGCGGCATGGATTTCGTAAAGGGAGATCGACTCTAACAAACTTGCTTGAATTTGTAAACCATGTATCATTGGGTTTTAGGGAACATAAGCATACGGTGTTATAGGTATACACAGACTTTAGTAAAGCTTTCGATAAAGTAAACCTCTCGATTCTCATACATA